TGAAGGTAGAAATATTTCACTTTAAACTATCCTCTCATCAATAAGTAATTAGATTTTATTTTTAGACTTCAATCAAAACATGAAGAGGGTACAGGGACATTGTTGACTCCACACTCCTAAATTACTTGGTGTTTGTTTGTTTGTTTGTTTGTTTGTTTTGAGACATAGTCTTGCTCTGTCACCAGGCTGGAGTGCAGTCGTGCAATCTCGGCTCACTGCAGCCTCCACTTCCCAGGCTCAAGTGATCCTCCTGCCTCAGCCTCTCAAAGTGCTGAGATTGCAGGCATGAGCCACCTCACCGAGCCAAATCCACTGTCTTTCAAAGTGTGTTTTACAAACACTGTAAACCCATAAATTAGTTATTTGATTTGCTCCATTGTCTTACAATTATGAGTTTTGACTGTCTATAATAGTTTGATATCACAGCAATATAAGCATAAACCAAAATTAAAGTTGGTGAACAAATAAAACCAACTCATAGAATCAAAGATTGTTCAAGCTGGAAGGAATCTTTAAGAGTTCCTAGGAAACAGTAGAAGAATGCCTGCCACTCTCTAATCTGAGGAAAAAGGACTTTGGACTTACCTAGCCAAGGCAGGTTTTATTGTGAGAACAGAAATATAAAGACATTATCATATTATATAGACAAAGGCTTTGTAAATTTTTCTACCTGTAAATTTTTTTACTTCATATTTTGAGATAATAGATTCTCATGCCATTGGACGCAATAATGCAGAAAGATACCATATACTCCTCACCCAGTTTCCCCCAGTGGTAACATCTTGCACAATCTTGCACACCTTTATTACAGTATCACAATGAGGAAACTGACTTTGGTACAACCTACTGATGTTTTTCAGCTTTTTTCACATTTCACCAGTTTTACATGCACATGTGTGGTGGGGGAGGTTCTGTGCAATTTTAGACACACATAGGTTTATATAACCACCACCATGGTCAAGTGCAGAACAGTTCTTTCTCCAAGATGCCTAATGCTACCCTTTTATAGCCACAGCTACCTCCTTCCCTCACAACTCCTTCCTAATCCTGTGCCATCACCAATCTGTTTTCTATCTGTATAATTTTGTCATTTCGAGAATGCTGTATGAATGGAATCATACAGTATATAACCCCTGAGATTGGCTTTTTTTACTCAGCATAATGCCCTTTATATTCATAGAAGTTATTGCCTGTATCAATAGTGTGCTCCTTTTTATTGCTGAGTGATATTTCTTGATATAGATGTATCACAGTTTAACATTTACCCACTGATGAACATGTGAGTTTTTTTCTAGTTTTTGAGTGTCACAAATAAAGCTGCTGTGAACATTTGTAGTCTGGCTTTTACATTAGCATACATTTTCATTTCTCTGGGATAAATGCCTGAATTTAATTTCTATGTCATGTGGTAAGCACATGTTTAATTTTTAAAGAAACTGCCATGCTCTTTTCCAGAATGGTTATACCATTTTACATTTCCACCAGCAGTGGATGAATGTCCGTCTTCTCCTCATCCTCACTAGCATCTGCTGTTGTCACTATTTTTTATTTTAGTCACTCTGATAAGTGTGTATTTAATTCTCTTGCTAAAAAATTACTTAAGTATATACTCCAAAAAAGCAAAAGATAAATCTAATAAAGCAGTTTGGGGATACAGGAAAAATTGGTGCAAAGAAAACAGAAAAACTCAGAGTTAAATTTAGTGGCTGGTAATATGCCTGTGAGACTATGCAACTGACAAAGATTCCTAAGAAAAGGCCTATGATACAGGAGTTTAACGTGTGTGTTTCTAATAATAAGCACTCCTATGAGACTCATCTAAATCTACAGCCATTGATATTGCTTCATTATATTGTAATTACTTGATTACATGTTTAACGTTTGCTACTAAAATCTGCTCTGGATGAGAACAGGAACTGTGGAACCTCATTTTCCCAGTCTTAGCTCACTTGAGAGTTCTTACGCAGCATTTCTTTTGGTGTCTATCTTCTGACGAAGCCTAGGAAGTAGCAATGGCAGACATTCTTAGAATGGTGAATCTTATCTCGTCAATGAACATAATAAAAGCGGGCTTTAGTAATAATCTACACATGGTTAGTCCCAAAAGAACTAAAGTAAATCATGTCAACATTGTGAATTTGGAGATAATTGTTTGGAGTACATTTGTGTTGCTCATTTGGCCAAGGTCTGTTAATGGCCAGTAAATTACTAAATTGCGCCTGTGTTGACCTCTTCATCCCCTCAGTTTTTATCTAGGTGGTGACTGGTGTCCCGATTTAAGACCATCCACACACCACAACTGTTCAGTAGTCTTGGGAGGGGTCTGGTGTTTGTCTAGGCTACTGCCATTTGGGGCAGTTTAGCTCTGCTGAAGGTGAAGAATGGAGATGAGCCCTCCTTCCTGCTGGCAGTAACAGAAGGAACACAGTAGTCTGTGCAAGATAGTGTCAGGGTAGCTACACAAATCAAAAATACTTTATGTTGTTTTTCATGCCTGACTTTCTACTAAGTAAGATAATTCCCAAGTTTTACAGAATAGGCTCTTCTGGGTTTTGGTAGAGAGAGGGTTTCATCTTGGATATAACCTAGAGATACCAAAATAGCTTAACATGTAAAACAAATCATATGTAATCATCAAATATGTATACACAATACAATGCATAATACTTTATTTCATGGACAATAAGGATACATTTCCAAGGCTTACTTTTTCTATGGGTTGGTTTTCTTAACATTTATTATATATACTAACTTTGAGCCAGACAATCTATTGCAGATAGATTCTCCTATTCATCTTCACAACAGCCCTGTGAAGTGAGTGGTATGATTCCCTTTTGACAGATAAAGAAGTGAATACCCAGGAGAGGTTCAGCTTCCCCAGGTCCACAAAGCTCACAGTGCTGCATCCAGAACTTACACTCTGACTCCAAACCAATGTTCTTTCATCCTTACACTCTCCTTAAGGAGCTTGTGTATAATGGTGTAAGTCCATTGAAATGAAAACAGTGAGTAATAACATGAACAGATACAGACAGCATGGGCTAGAAGTGCTCAATGACTGGTCCCCTAACTCTGACCAGGAGATACAGGGGCAGGTGCTGTGGGAATCAGGAGAGGGTCCAGTTGCTCAATCCTAGTAGAAGAACTTGGTTTGGACAGGACAATGAATTAATAAAATTCTGCAGCCTATTTCAAGGAAGGAAGAACAGAGGAACACAATGCCAAGCGACTAAGGAACACAAAGTTAAATAAATAATCCCAACATTTAATTTTTTAAACTTAATGAAAAGCATAATCAAGCCCATTGACATTTGCCAACTGTTACCAACATGCATGCACATGAAATCCTATTAAGTTAAGAGTGAGAATTCCTTCTGAGCAATGCAGTGGTTACAGGGGGATTGATTGTTTTTGAAATCTTGCAGGGGAGGAGATTAGGGACTCGACGTGTGACGTTGAATCCTGTGTGAGCAGCTTTTGAGAATTCTGATTCACTACAGAAACGGAAGGATTATCAAGTCAGTAGTTTGTTTTTTTTTAAACTCTCACTTCAAACCAAAGTATTATCAAAATTTCTACAGAAAGAATGGTAACAGGAGACTGAAAGTAATTTTCTCGGCTATAAGTAGTAAACTTTTCCTTTCTTCCTAGAAGCGATATTGCCTAAAGATTAGGGAGTTGAAGCATTTCCCGAGTTTGTTGTTGTTATATGTCTAGCAAGTTTTCATTTTAAGTAACTTGTCCCACAGAAATTTATATATGCAATAATTCAAGTTAAGGAAAGCTAAAATCTTTGGACTTATGAAATAGAGCAATGCTATATCTACTATTTAGAGTTTCTGGCTTTTTTGTAAAAAGAACCTACTGGTCTCTGATTAGATGACCCTAAGCATAGGGGTAAGGTTGATATGGGCCCCAAATGGAAAAAAAAAAAAAAAAAAACACAGTGTATCTGGGAGAGGGAGCAAAAGGAAAGAAATGACCCCATCAACCCTCTTCTCTTCCCTGTTGTGAATCCTGGGAGTGCAGAGAGAACAGCTATGGCAGGAAAAGGAAGTGGACACACAGGACATGATGGTAGCAACTCTGGCTTTGAAGATGTATCTGGAGAGGCTTTGAGGTTGGCTGCTGTGGGTCTGGTTGTGGATTCTGACGTAAGCCAGTCACACAGATCATGATGTGAAACAGAGCAGGGTTGCCAACAGCCAATCCAAAGTAGATGTAGGGGCGGCAAACCCTAGTGATTTACAAAATGGAGCTGAGGCTCCATACCTTAGGAGGAACTTCTGGAAGCTGATGAATGACTGAGTTACAGAGATTTAAGGCACATTTAAGAGTTTCTAAAGTCTAGGAAAATACTACAAAGTTTAAAAATGGTTCAGAAATGTGCCCTGTGGTACATTACCCAGTGCATTGTGTACCTGTCAGACATGACCTTGTCTTCCTCCCAGAAGCTTTCAACTTAGGCTTAAAGAGTAAAATCAGTTTGATTTTGTAGGGCTTAATTTTATTTATTCAACATCCTGGGCACATTTATGGAGTGCTGAAGGACCAAGGCCTGCATGACTACCTCGTGAAAAGTAAGGTACTTCTTTGGACATCCAGTGGTTCTGAACCTTTCAGAAAAGATCACCCCATACTGGCTTCTGAGAGATTTGGGGCCACATATATGGCTCTTCATCCCTGTCAGTATCAGTCCACGCTCTTTACATGCCCTTCTACCCTGCAAGTAAGTGTCCCTTTGATATCACCAGTGTTCTTCCTTCAAAGACATTTTTAAATTTAGTGTTTTTTTAATATTTTGAGACAATCTTGTTTTGTTGCCCAGGCTGGAGCATGATCATGGCTCACTTGCAACCTTCTCTCCTGGGCTCAAGCATTCCTCCCACCTTAGCCTCACAAGCAGCTGGGACTACAAGCACGTGCCACCATGCTCAACTAATTTTTGTATTTTTTGTAGAGAAGAAAGGGTTTCACCATGTTGCCTAGTTTGGTCTGGAACTCCTGGGCTCAAGCAATCCACCTGCCTTGGCCTGCCAAAGTGCTGGGTGTGAGCCACTGCACTTGGCCAAATTTAGTATTTTGATCGAGCAAGTATAACTCTTCTCTCTTCATTTTTGTACCTCCAAATACTGAACTTGTGTCAAATGTCCATGGGGGGGAATGTCTACCTCCATAAGAATGAAATGGCCAAGGACAATCTGTTGTACATAAATTAATATATAACATTCAACTTTTTATAAAAAGGGTATATCTGTGAACTTTCTATATGTATACATCAAAAATATCTTTTAAAAGGGATATGTACTTCACTGGACAGATCAGTTGTCCATAGCTACTCAGGCTACAAGGACGTTAAAACTTAACGTTTGTTTAAAGTATCCTCATCCAGCCTTAATGCAAGCCTTGCTGAAATGATTCTACATCTCGTTACTTCCTCTCTTCATTTCTCCACACAAAGACCTTATTTGCAAACTTTACCCATATTCAGCCCGCTCCAGATGTTCCAAAGACAAACAATTATAATGACCAACTCAGTGTTTGCTGCATTTTCATAAGCACCTGGTGATCTCTCACAAATGATGATGGAGTTCTTTAGAAGCAGAGATTCTCCATCCTCTGATAGTCTTCTTTCTGATTTAGCTATCCAGCCTTTTTTTTCCTAGATTGTTAGCAAATTCAAAAGAATGTCACCAGTCGAATTTTCGAGGAACAGAGAAAGCAGTGATTCCAGCTTGCAAATTTACTTTCTGTGCACTCAGATGTGTGGGGGAAATGCAGTTACTTAATTATCTATGAATCCTTTTCTGTACTAGCATCCACTTCCCCAAATTTAAACTTATCAGTTAATAATATTGCAGTCTCTTCTGCTTTAGACAGTCACCTCTCCAGTTAAATATTCTCTTTATTCAAAGTTGAACTCACTCTCAGGGTGGGTGTGAACTGTCCCTGTTTTATCCTCCATTTTTTTTAGGTGAGCACCTTTGGAAACATAGGGTCCTTGTCCCATGTGGGCACACAGAGATGAGAACATTGCCACGGGCCTCTCCACACTTACATATTCCAGTTCTGACTTAACTGTCACCCTCATGCTAAGTGTGGCTTTCAACTGTGTCATGTTGAGCTACTCTCTTGTACCTTCATTAGTTTTGATCATCTACATATATTATTATTCAAAAAGGAAAATAACTCAAGATTCCAAAGTATTTTTTTTTCTTAGTGATACTTCTCAGAACCTGGGTTTTCATCACTTCTCTTTAAAACTCACTCTGTAGATAGGTACTTGCTGTTCTTAGATATCGTTTCTCAATACCAATGGTGACTTTCCGACGCCTCAGATTCTTCCTGCTCTATGAAAGGTCCAACAATCCCAGAACATAGATCAGCCAGTTTTCTTTGGCCTTAAACCACCACAGGAATCTCAGCTGATAAATTCTGCCTTACCTTCCTGCCAAATTAATTATGTGTTGTTCGGCAAACAGTTCTGAATTGTCTCTCTGCAGACGGCTTTGTGCAAAGACCTGTGGGAGGTCCTATATCCTATTCATTTTTTGTACCTGTGAGAGGCACAAAAAATGAATAGGATATAGTCCTTTTTCTAAGAAGCTTAGAGTGTAAACACAAAGTTGAAACCATCACGGTCCTATTTATCATGGACAGACTCTTCCATTCTTCTCTTTCTTTGTCCCATAAGAGTAATATGAAAGGGGAAGGGAAAGTACTTTTTTCTTTTTACCAAGAAAGGCAGTTTACTAGAGGTGGTGGGCTGTAATAGACAGTGGTGAGGGTTCCAGAATTTTGCCTCACACATGGACGTGGATGTGGGGGTTTGGACAAAGTGTGGCCTCTGAGTCTCACAAGGTAGCTGGCCTGTGCCTGGGCTCTCTGCTGTCCTACCAGTTAAGCTGCAGTGAAGTAAATCATTTGTGGTAAGACCAAGAAGAAGATAAAAAAACATATAATGAGAAGGACTTGGCATTTTAACATAAGATACTACTTTTAAACCTGTTTACAAAATAATTTATGAAGACATCTTTATTTATGGAATGTTTATAAAGAAAAAAAAAACAAATTCAACTAATATAGGAAGCTGGTAATGAAATCTTTTTAAATGATAGATGACCATTTTAATTCCTATAAGGTATATTTTTATGACTTCAAGCTTTTTAAGTGAGCAAAAAATGATAATAATGATGAAAGCCTTGGTACACGGTAATCCAGCACAGCCCGAGCTCTAAATCACGGCATAGACACCATGAAAAACACATTATTGCCAAAACTAGGCTAAGGATTTAATATTTATTTCATTCTGCTTTACCAGCCAAAATTGTATGGCTTGTCACAGCCTGTATTTTCTCATTATTACATTAGCAAAGAACACTGAGCTTTATTGAGGAAATTAAATTAAATTGAAAAGGAAGTGTTCAGCTCTAACTAGACTGGCACAATACAAGGAATTCTAGAACTGTACTCTGAGGGGTCTACTTTGTGAGAAATGGCAGGCCCTTGGACTCATTTTTCCCTAAACCAGTATTTTCAGAAACACCTATTTGCATAAAATCTCCAGGACACTATTTTGAATTTTCTTACATTGTTGAAATAACAAAAATGTATTTGCCAGTCATTAAGTCCTTGTTCAGGGACTAGATTCTAGGCCAACTGGAAGCATTACTCAGGACCTTTGATATATTTTCCTGTCAGCTCCGCATATTGTTAATTCAGTTGTTCTTCAGATCTACCATCAAAGATTGATCAAGTGAGACAGAACATAGCAAGCTCTGTTCTATGTCACTTGATAGGACACAGCAGAAAATTTGCTATTTCTGTCTCACTTGATCAGTCTTTAGTTAAGATTCCAAATTACTAATTTCTGTTTTTTTCTTGGCCATCTCTAGCTCATCATTGGCAATGAGTGAGTTAATGCTAAAAAGGGATAGGCATGCATTTTATGTAAGCATTTCAAAATAACACACTAAATTTTAATTTTGAAAAGTTTATACAATAAAAATATATAAAAGTAAATCAAATATTATAATGAATCCACGTATACTCTGTGCTCTATTTTTAACTCATAGCCAGTCTAGGTTTTGTTTTGTTTTGTTTTTATACTGCTTCTCTTCCTGTATAATTTGAAATACATCCAAAACATCGCATCATTTTACTCACATGTATTCTAGTAGGAATTGCTAAACACTAAGGACTCCTTAAAAAAAAAAAACAAAAAAAAACACTATAATACCATTATAATGGATTAAAAATATCAATTCTTACAAAACATCAAATGTCAGTGCTCAAATTTTTAATTGTTTCAGAAACAACTTTTTAGGATTTGGATCAGGATTTAAGTAGAATCTATTTGCTAAGTTTCTTGTCACTCTTTTTTTTATTTTGAAGGTATTTGTTGAAGATATTGGGTTGTTTATCCCAGAGCATCTGGATTTTGCTGATTACATCCCATTGTTTCATCTAACATGCTCCTCTCTTGTGTGTTTTTTTTGTGTGTGGGTTTTAGGATCTACTGGTTGAGTCAGATTTAGGTCTGACTTCATATTTGGTGTCTCCACTCATCAGGAGGCACATCATGTCAGAATGCCTTTCTTTCTGCAATGTTAGTAGCTGTTGGTGACCACTGACTGACTGGACCCGTTCATTTATCAGCAGTTGTAAAATCGGGATGTTCTAATTTTATTATATATCTGCTAGACTACACAAGGGAATTTTAAACAGAAGAGTTGCTGACACATACTAGGTGCTCAATAAAGTATGTATAGAGTGGGTTAATTTCCATAAGAACCCCTGTGACAAGGAAGCAGAGGGCAGGAAAGCTAAGGAGGCCTTGAGATGTCTTCCATCTTAGGGCTAGCCCCAAGCATTCTGGGATGATTAAAGAGCCTTTGCAGTTGACCAAGCCTGTGACATGCTGTTCTTGCAAAGGCTTCCTGAAGAAAAATGTGATCGTCTTACTAAGACTCAAAGCTCAGCCTACTTTATAGCAAAACAGCCTTGCCTTTTATCTGCCATTTAGTTGTATGCCTACTAAACAGTAAATCAAAAGAAGCTCTATAAATATCAGCTTGATTTTTGCCCTTGACAGAGTGTATTTAAAATACCCATGGTGTGGGTAGGTTTGAAAGCCCTGTAGGCTTTTATCTTTATGTATTTGACCACCCAGAGCACATAAGCACAGTAAATGTTTTCAGTGCCAAAAATTTGTTCATGAGCATTGTAATCATGATGCACAGGTATCAAGTTCTTATATTTAAGATACAAGGTGTAGTATTTTACATTCTTTGCTGCTGACTATTTTGGTTTTCACTTGCTTATACATGTGGAAAGTAATATAACAAATATTCATTCCTATTATGTTTAGAGCACACAAGATGCACTAAGTCAAACTAGTCTTTGCTGAGACATGAAGTCTTGTGTGTATAATAGAAAGAATATAGATGTAACCTGAGATAGAATTTCATATGACAGAGAGACACTAATAACGTGCTTGGGTCTTCAGAGGGGAGACATATCCCAATAGTTTGTTGAAATCATTAGTAAATTTACCTGGAGTAGAGACAGGCTTTGAAAAAACAGTAGGATTTGAAAAGATGGTAAGGACTATCTAGAAGAAACAACATTAGAAGAAGCATCAGGGTTTACATCTTCAGAGCACATTTAGGGGTAATTAAGAAGTTCCAGTTGACTAGCCTGGCAAGTGTCTCTAGGCAGGCAATAAATAACAAAAAGACACTGACTGGGGCCATATTAGTGTGGACCTTCTATGCCAAATTGAAGCACTGACACCAAGTAATGATGAGAGACTGAAGGCTTTGAGTAGCGACATGATGTGATCTGGTCAAGATCACATGTCAGGAATGGATTCGTGAGGAAAGAATAGGAAACTGGGCCAGGCACGATGGCTTACATCTGTAATCCTAGCACTCTGGGAGGCCAAGATCGGGGGTTCACCTGAGGTCAGAAGTTCAAGACCAGCCTGATCAACATGGAGACCCCCAACTCTACTAAAAATACAAAATTAGCTGAGCGTGGTGATTCATACTTGCAATCCCAGCTACTTGGGAGGCTGAACCAGGAGAACCGCTTGAACCTAGGAGGCGGAGGTTGCAGTGAGCCGAGCTTGTGCCATTGCACTCCAGCCTGGGTGACAGAGTGAGATTCCATCTCAAAAAAAAAAGGCGGGGTGGGGGGGTGGTGAAACTGGGATTAAATCATTATCGTTAGAGAGAAGGAATGTTTTGATAATAGAAGCGGCAGGATTGGGTAACATAGTGAAGGAAAAGGAGCCGTGAAGTGTGAAATCACATTAGAATGATTTCAAATAAAAGAGGGAAGTGAGGAGAAAGAACTGCTTTGGGGTGAGATAAGAATTTAGGGTTGTAGCATGGCCACGTGTGGACATTTAGAAGGCTGGTCACGGTGGCTTATGCCTATAATCCCGGCACTTTGGCAGGCCGAGGTGGTTGGATCGCTTGAGCCCAGGAGTTCAAGGCCAGCCTGGGCAGCAAGGCAAAACCCATCTCCACAAAAAATTAGCCAGGCGTGGTGGTATGCACCTGTAATTCCAGCCACTTGGGAGGCTGAGATGGGAGGATCACCTGAGCCCAAAAGGCCAAGGCTGCAATGAGCCGTGTTTGCATCACTGCACTCTAGCCTGGGCAACAGAGTAAGACTCAAAAAAACTTTTTTTAATTTGATAAAGAAGTTTAGAGATGTTCTGAAGGAAATATGTTGGGGCTGCAGCTTAGGAATGAAGTCAGATTAAATGCAACAGTTTAGAAATTTTCTGTAGAAAGAAGGTAACTGGAATCTACCTTTAAGAAGATCTCAAATCTATCCACTTCTTCCTTGAGCTCCCCAACTGCAGCTACTCATTCAAGTATTACCATCTCTTACCTGGACTGTTGAAATGCCCCCCAATCAAAAGTAGGTACTCCCTGATTGTTCCCTCCAGGCCTTATTACAATGTGTAATTCGGGCTTGTTTAATATTGAGTATGGTACACTTATCTGTTTTATTTATCCCTGAAGATCCAACAGCTTCCACAGTGCATGGCACTTAAACATTTTTTTCCCACCAAAAGAGTCAATGAATGTAAGTACTAGAAAGTAGAGAACAGAGTTAGAGAACTTTGGCGAACACCTTTAGGGCACAGGAAGAAAAAGTGAAAAAGTCAAATACAAAGACAACACTCAGAAGGCAGGGCACAATAGCTAAGGGAGAGGGGAGATTCAAGGTGGGATGGTCACAGGGATTGATTGGGCTGGTGGAGAAATAATAGCATGAGTAGCTGACATTAAATGTGCCTTTTGTGTGCCTAAGACTTGGCACGGATTAACTCAGTTGATCTTCACAATAACTCTGATAGGAATTATTTGGTAGGAACCCCTATTATAGAGGTAGTACAGGTTAGAATAGATACCTGAAATGTTAGATTCGTTGCCCAAAAACAAACAAGTTGGGGAGCCATGGGTCAAACCAGGCCGTCTGCTTCCAGAGCAAGAAGTCTTAACCACCATGCAGCCACACCAGCTCCTGCTAGCAGCAGGACAGGAGATAGTTTGCAGTGGGCTAAGGAGTGTGATGTTTAAGATGTAAAAGCAAAAGGAGGACCACCTGCTCTTTGTAGTCTTTGGTCATGAAGACAGGAATGCCTGTGATTCTCAGTTACAGTAGTTCTACATTAGGTCCCAAATCTACAGAAGTTGCAAGAGCCCTCATGCATCACCAGCCCTGAAAACCTGGGGAATATGCTCTTATTTCAGAAACAGGTAGTTTTTGATCATGTCTTCAGGGTACTCTATCAGCTGCCTTGACATTGACTCTGACATTGACTTTTTCACTACATTCCAATGTTGTTATTGACTTAAGTTAGTCCTTGAGAGAGACGGAAGAAAAAATCTGACTTTGGCAATAAAAAACATTGCAGTATTCCAGCTTGCTTTCAGTTTTAAATAGTTCTGTGAATCATTCTTGTTTCCTTTTTTTACAAATGGGGAAGTAAAGTCCTGCCAGAGCTAGATCGAAAGGCACCTGTATTTGCATTGTAACCCACATTTTGAATGGCAAATGCACAGGTACAGAATCCTCCAGCAACAGCAAGGTCAGACAGACATTCTGGAAATGTGCACCACTGAATGATGAACTGGACCAACTGGTGCCTGGCATGTTGCAGAATGCCCCTCACTCTTAAAGCTCACACATGTTAAGTTGTTGGCAGATTTATCTATTATTTTAATTAAATGACTCGGATGATATGAGTAACGGAACTATTTTGTTCCTAATTGATGCAGATCTTAAAAATACGTGACTAAATCTGTTCCCAGAATTTCTCATTACGGAAGTCTTTTATTTTGTTTTAAAATATATTCATATACATTTCTGTTTTTGTTCCTTCAGATTTCTTAATCGATGGTGACTTTGCCTAACCCAAACTCTAACTGCAATGGTCAGCTTTCCACATAAGGAGATAGAATTTCTTTTTTTAAGCCTTTCTCTCTGAAAGTAGGAGTCTTGGCCTCACAAGGACAACTCAGCACCCTTCTCAGATGCCGGCAATCCAATAGAAGAGTACAGAGGAAATGAAGCTCTTTTTAACATTTTTAAATCACTTTTTCAAGAGTTAATTCTCTCTTGGAATTTATTCCTTAAAAAAATAAATAAACCAAAACAGACATTGGACCCTGTACAGCATCAGGATAGTGTCTTACTTTATCCAGTAGTTCAGTTTGGACCATACAGCCTGACTTTGTCTCCCCTGTAAAATGCACAGTTCTCTTGGGCCTGTTCATGGGCAGGGAAAAAGACTGCAAGTACAAAACACACAGTTCAGGTTGAATATTGAAGGAAAAATAGAAGAAAAAGGATTTCATTTTTTAAAAAAGCTTCTTGACAACTCATGAATGCTTTGCTGAGGAAAATGCTTTGCAGGGTTGAATATTGCATGGCGATATAAGAAAAGCATTTTTTTAAGAAAAGCTTTTTAACAAGCAGAATTAATTCATGGATACTCTGCAGAGGAAAATCATGGTGTCAGGAATACTTTTAAGCTTGACCACTCCTAACTTGAGTAAATGATTCTGGGTGCCTGCCAGGAACATTCACAGTATTGTCAGAGTCTTATTAGAACTTGCTTTTGAAGCCAGTTTACTGCTTTGGAGGAAACATTGACAAATGGGGCTGTGTGGGGCACAAGACTGTGTTTTTGCCAATTGAAAATTCCTGCATTGTCAGCCATCCAGGCCATACCCCTTGGTATTCCACAAACCCAGAGCTTCCAAAGGAATCGAGATTTGCCAAAATGACACTGGTAAGCAGGCCAGCAATATAGTTCTATTTTTGTTGGCTAATTTAGTGACACTTGTTTCCAGAAGTGCGATTCTAGGAATGTTTACTTCAAGCTGACACCTGTTGTCTCTTGAGCTACTGTAGGGATGAGTCACCATGAATTATAATCATAGTGATAAGAGCTAGCAATTAATTAAGCACTTTATGCTAGGGACTTTTCTAAGCACTTGACTTGCATTGCCACATTTAATTTTTACAAGCACTCTTTACGGTAGGTAATGTTGTCACCATTTTACAGACGAGGAAACTGACCCACAAGGAGATGATGTGACCTGCCTAAGGTCACAGAGTCCGAGCTCTTTATCCTCCATTCCCCATGCCCTTATCCAAGTCTCTCCAAGAAAGGAAGCACTAGCACTGATAAATGTGAGTGGGGAAATTAGCATCTGCAGATGGTCATTCATTGTAAAGAGTTGATGAAGTTGTCTGGGTGGGTACTGTGCCTGAGCCATCATTTCAGTATGGTTGAGAATTAGAAAGATTAAGGCCCTTCTACCATGTTTCTCTCTGAAGAAAGCGTCCAATATCTGTTAGCATTTTCTTTTAAGAGTCTGACTCTCGGCGCTCTTGACGTAAAACAGTCTTGCTTTTCTCCCATGGTCTATGCTACTGATACACCTCCATGGAGAACCAACTAAAGGGTCTGATACTCAAGCATTGGATCAGTGGTAAGAAGCATTTCCTATCACCCTTTCCTTCCTTCCTCCCTCCTCCAATCTTGTTATCACTCTGCCTTCCATTAGGAAGGCTGATTCCACATTGTTATCAGGCACTCTAAGGTGACCTGGGTTAGAAAATCCCACAGCCCAAACCTCTTCAGTGGCGAGATTCTACCCTTAGCTCCTGCCTGACTCCTTCTGAACTTGACTTAGTATTTTGAAAGATGAAGCGTGAACACCCTGGAATAATTGATACTCATTTGCAGCCCACTGTCAGTTCTCATTGATGGCAAAAATGCCCATGGTGCAGAATAACCACAGTTTTTGAAGGCCATATGCCACAGTTCATAAAGCCTTTTTTCAGGTGGCATTCATGAAGTGGCAGCCACAGGTAATTGAATCCTCAGGCCTGATCCCCTCTTTACTATATCATAAATATCAAAAGGCAATTGGGCTGAGCAAGAACAGGAAGCATAAGAAATTCTGGATTATTTTATCCCTAAACAATTATCTATAGGCTATGATCCTTGAAGGTGTTTCCTATAAAGTATAGGAACACCTTCTCACGTTGGTTCAGAGACAGCTGTTCTGACCACCAGGGTTGTCTTACTTTCTGGGCTGTTTTGATTTTCTGAGCAGCTTTGCGTAAGAAATACCAGGTATTAAAAAGTCTGTTGTAGGGGAGAATCATATACGAACTAGTAGAAAAAGAACTTTGTCATAGAAGAAAACACCCAGTTTGCAGGCATTCTTCCTGAACACTGCTCTTCCATCTAAAAAAGTCCTGAGTGTCAAAGCCTCACCTATACCCTGAAGCCATCTCAACATTCTGGTACCTAGACCTTGTCTCCTGTCATTTTCTTTTCAGAGCACTGCCATCTCTTTTGTCTGGCTACATCCAACTATTTTTAATTCCCTTGTCTCCCCATGGTCTGCTGAGTGGATAATTAAATGTGAAATACTATTCTTTGTTGAGATTATATATTTGTAAAGGATGGAATGGCAACTTTGAAAGACAGGCTTTGAAAAGAAGACTACTGACTTCCCACAAGTTGAAGATTATGAGAACAATTCAGACAAAGACGCATTCGAGCTGCATCTTCATGCTGCAGAGGGTACAAGCTTGTAGAGAATGTTGGTTGTTGGTTTCTCTGCTCTGCTGTTTAAGAGTGTGGACACCGGAGTTGACTGCTTGGGTCTCTGTCACTTATGAGCTGTGTCATATTGAGCAAATTACTTTATCTCTCTGTGCCTCCAGTTTTTCATCTGTGAAACAGAGATAACAGTAGTACCTAGCTTGTAGGGTTGTTGAGAAGATTGAATGTAAGTGAGCTTTGTAGCACTTGCATGCGGAAAATGCTCAATCAGTGCTATTAGTGGAACTTTCGTGGAGGGTTAAGAAAACATGTGCTTGTGTCAGAGTTGCATAAAATTCCCATCTTGGAGCCATTGTGATAATCCTTCTTGCGTGTGGCCTAGTAATAACCTCAAGTGTTTTTATTTTGATTCTTCATCGTTCAGCTACCCCGCTGGGAGGGGTAACAGGGGCTGTGTGTCTGCATATAGCGAGCTCTCTGATTCTGAGTAGATGAGATGAACAGACCTTTGTGTTGACTGGCTTCCTGGTTCTTTTTCTCATTCAGGTGCTGGAAAGCTTCAAGATCATGGACTATAGCCTTCTGTTGGGAATTCACTTCCTTGACCATTCCATCAAAGAGAAAGAGGAGGAGAACTCACAAAATGTGCCTGATGCTAAGCGACCTGGGATGCAGAAGGTTCTCTACTCAACAGCTATGGAATCTATCCAGGGTCCAGGGAAATCTGGAGATGGGATAATCACAGAGAACCCAGACACGTAAGTGCAGCCACATACCCACCCACTCTCTTGATTGTGGCACCCCATATCACTGGGTAATTATAGACAGTCACATTCACCTTAGGATGGGACTCTAGGAATGAATTCCTACTTGGTGCTAAAATGGGTTAAACTGGTCTCCATTTTAGGAGGTAACTAGATAACTAGATGAGTGGCAGTTTCTCTGGTTATTACTCCTTCACTCACTTGGTTTCTTTTTTCAAATGGCTCCATTTATTTTAACAATGGCTGAAAATGTTTTTTCCCCCCATTAACTACATATTCAAAACATTCACCACAAGAGGAAGGAATAAACTTTGAATGTGAACAAACATGTTTTATTGTTTATTTTTTTTTTGAAACAGAGTCTTGCTCTGTCACCCAGGCTGGAGTGCAGTGGTGCCATCTCAGTTCACTGCAACCTCCACCTCCCGGGTTCAAGCGATTCTCCTGCCTCAGCCTCTCGAGTAGCTGAGATTATAGACATGCACCAGTACACCTGGCTAATTTTTGTATTTTTAGTAGAGACAAGGTATTTTACCATGTTGCCCAGGCTGGTCTCAAACTCCTGGCCTCAAGTGATCCACCTGCCTTGGCTTCCCAAAGTGCTGGGATTATAGGTGTGAGCCACTGCACTCTGCCTGAATAAAGATGTTTTAAGCAAATACACAATAAGAATGATGTTTGCAATTCAGTGCTTTTTATCTGCCTAAGGCGATTCTGTTGTTCTAGTCCTGCACCCTGGCAGATGTGGTCTCTTGCCCCAGCCAGATGTGATAGTAACTACAGGATTAATTTGCATGGATAAAGTGCATATTGACTAGCAGAAACAATTACAACCATAGTAAGTTATTGAAATGATAGATTTCATCAGGTATGTGTACTAGCTGAGCAAGGAGACTGAAAGGAAGCATTTTCCACGACCATAAGTGCGTGCCTTCTAGAATTCTCCAACAATGACTAAACCATGGGCATATTTCACTTTTGTAAAGGAAATTAACACATATTAATATTTTTTGAAAAGTCCTTTCTTGCAAATCAATCTAAATGTCTAATAATCAGTTAAATTGTCCTATATTAGTATGGTTAAATACTATAAAGCTATTAAAAATCATATTAGCTTGAATATAAGAAAATATTTATAATTTAGCAAGTTAAAAAATCAGATTATAAAATCTGATAAATAATACCCTTTCTGGACTAAATACACACACACACACACAGGAAAAGTGTACTAGATGTTAGTAGTTATCTTTGCATCCTAGGAATAGCTGTTTGATTATACTTTTTCTTTGCGTTTTTCTGTATTTTGTTTTTAAAAGTAAATATACATTACTCTTTTGATCAGAAAAAAGTATTGCATTTTTTAAAAGGAATATTTTACAATGCTCTAAAAATTCTTGCTCGTGGTTTTAAAGTAGAAATAAGTTTGGATTCCTCCCATCTAACTCTTCAGAGTCGGCAGCTATGGTATTATTCTCCTTTGTGGGGAAGTATTAATACATCATTCTGAATTTCCAGGATGACCTTAACTGATGCCCAAAAAACAAAAACAAAAGAACAAACAAAAGAAGATGACTGGGCAATAGCCCAGAGTTCTTAAAAATTGTCTATTTTTATTTTCAGTCTATTTGTTAGAAATAATTTTTTAACTTGCTATTCTTATAATATGTAATCAAATATTTTCTCTTTGCTCTATCAACAGAATGGGGGGCATTCCAGCTAAAAGCCATAGGGGAGAAAAACTACTCTTATTTATGGGCATTATTGATATTCTACAATCATATAGGTAAGAAGTTTGGGGAGTGGTCTTTTATTATTTCAAAATCAATCTACAAAAGATTCTGATGAAAAATCACCAAATGAGATTTTCCATTTATGTTTAGGTTAATGAAGAAGTTAGAACATTCCTGGAAAGCTCTTGTTTATGATGGGGTAAGTGACTTATTTTCATTATTACACTGTATGTATTTCTGCCTTCTCAGAGACTTCAGAGTATGTGCAGGAAACTGTATTGCTAGACTCTAAGAGGAAATGAAAGAACAGTCTTTATAAACTCAGAATCTTAGGCTAATAGATTGGTTCAAATCTGAGAATAAAGCCAAAATAAATTGAATAGCTATTTAAATATATGATATACAGCCTGGTGGTCAGAAAAACAAAATGATATCTGTGTCTATGTGAAGCCCAAAGGACCTAACTTTGAGAGAGGACTTTTTTCATAGAGATGATCAGTAATGAAGTTTTCACACAACCAAACTGCAGGAAGTGTGCACCGTGACTCTGATGGTGGACAGCCTGGCTTAGAGCTGGGCATTCGCTGCTGAACTAGCCATATGACCAGGAACAGTGCTGGTTATTTGGCCTCTTACCCTTGTTTCTCACCTGTACCCGGGGATAGTAATGACACCTACCTGGTGTGAGGATGCGGCAAAATAATGCACGTCAGTGTTCAACACAATGCCTAACAAATACAGACGCAGAAAGTGAAAACTTTTTAATTGGTATAGATTTATACATAAACATTTATACATGCTGGCTGCCTCAGGATATTTTTTTTTTTTTTTTGAGATGGAGTCTCAGTTGCCCATGCTGGTGTGCAGCGGCACAATCTTGGCGCACTGCAACCTTTGTCTCCCAGGTTCAAGTGATTCTCCTGCCTCAGCCTCCTGATTAGCTGGGACTACAGGCGTGTGCCACCACACTTGGCTAATTTTTGTATTTTTAGTAGACATGGGGTTTGCCATGTTGGCCAGGCTGGTGTCAAATTCCTGACCTCAGATGATCCACCTGCCTCAGTTTCTCAAAGTGTTGAGATTACAGGTGTGCGCCACCATGCCTGGCTGGGGATGTATTAATTGATGTAACTGAAGAAAAAAATAAGTTATCAACGAGCAGTTTCCCCCTTTTTTCTCTCTTCTTTCTCCCGTGCTCTCTGTCTCCGTCTCTCTCTTTCACACACACACAGACACACATACACACACACACACACACACACACGCACACACACACCCAGTCCCATCTAGACATTAGATTTCTACTTCCTGCTACTAACAACATTTATTGGCCTAAGTTAATAACTTGAAGTCGCAATTCCAAAGAATATATTGGTCAAGGATTTGGTCACACATTTCCTTTTTAGATGTTAGCAGATACTTTCTTTTGAAAGAGAATAAATTATAGATGATATTCTTCTTCTTTCTTGGAAAAGAACACATAATTTCTCTGTTCTGTGGAAGACTATTAAAAACCTTTCAGCATGAAAGATCTACATTTTTTCCAGAGGCTAAGGACTGACTTTAGTCAGAATGTACTTTTAAACAACAGGTTTACACCTTTATTCCCAAGAATTAACCTCTAAGCTGGATATAGGGGCATGTGCTGGTAGTCCTGGCTACTCAAGAGCCTGCAGCAGGACAATCGCCTGAGCCCAGGAGTTCAAGTCCAGCAGTCTTGAATATAGCGAGACCCTTTCTCTAAAAGAATAATTTTTAATTAAAAAAGAAGAATTAACCTCAGTCTTATTCAGATCAAAAATTCCTCCTATGAAAGGAGGTCAATATGGTAGGTTAATTTTATGTTTCCTTCCAGCTGAGAATGGAAGGAACTGCATACATAGTATCTCAAACATTGAAGGGGAGAGAGTGAATACCCTCATTCCACTCCCCTCCTGTTTTCTGAGACCATTTCAATTTCCTGTTACCAGATGGATCTGAATCATCTAGTCTTGTCCCACCTTTGTCTGTTTAAAACCTGTCTTCCAGCTGGTTGCAGTGGCTCATGCCTGTAATCCCAACACTTTGGGGGGAGACAGAGACAGGAGGATCACTTGAGGTCAGGAGTTCAAGACCAGCCTGGCCAACATGGCGAAACCCCTGTCTCTACTAAAAATACGAAAATTAGCTGGATGTGGTGGTGTGCACCTGTAATCCCAGCTACTGGAGAGGCTGAGGCATGAGAGTCATTTGTACCCAGGAGGTGGATGTTGCAATGAGCAGAGATCACACCACTGCACTCCAGCCTGGGTGACAGAGTGAGACTCCATCTCAAAAAATAAAATGAAATAAAACCTATCATCTGTTTTTTAGTTTTTTTTTTAAATAAAAATCTCTGTGCTGGTTATATATCATAAACTTTTTTTTGTTTGTTTTCAGACATGGCTCTTACTTAAACAATGTTTATTCATGCCAAAGAGAACAGCAATGTAACCGCTCTGTGTAGGCAAGGGGCTGAACTTTAATCCTCTATGGATTCCCCTTAGGCTTTTGCCTTCTGCTGATATTTCTAAATTACTGCACTTGTTGGGAAGAATGTGTTCGCTTCAGGCAGATACTGCCAGGATACCAAGAAGTGTACATCTTAAAAGATGTAGTGGGGCCAGGTATGGTGGCTCATGCCTATAATCCTAGCAGATCACTTGAGGACAAGAGTCCAAACCAGCCTGGCCAACATGGTCAAACCTTCTCTACTAAAAATACAAAAATTAGCTGGGTGTGGTGGTGGGTGTGTGTAACCCCAGCTATTCAGGAAGCTGAGGCAGGAGAATCACTTGAACCTGGGAGGTGGAGGTTTCAGTGAGCTGAGATTGTGCCACTGCACTCCAGCTGGGTTGACAGAGCAAGACTCAGTCTCAAAAAAAGAAAAGAAAAACTAGTGATAAATTTCCCACCATACCTAAAGCCTCACTGAGTGTAGATGACCATTATAATGTGACCAAAGATGCATCTGGCAACTGTGACCTTCATAACATGCCAATTATAGTATTATAGATTATCCTCACTGCAAGGGAATATAATATGCCTTCTGTAACACCCTATTTCACAGATGAAGAAACTGAGGCCCTGAAACTCTGGCTTCTCCCAGGAATATACAACCTTTTAAAGTCAGAGCTAACAACCAACACCAGGTCTCCTGACTTCTAGTCCAAAATGTTTTTTCTTCCAACACCACTGCAGATACTTAGTAGGATCCAAACTGAAATTTTTAGAAATTTCTGTATTGGGGTCCATTAAACCTGAATTCAAAATGAAGCATTATAGAAGCAAATTTACTATGTCCACAAGTATGCAGCTTGGATACATGATTTGGATAAATGATTACTAAATAAAGATAGAAAATTACCTCCCTCATCCATCCCCTTTCCTGGGTTTGTAATCAAATGACCCTTCAGCCCTAAAGACTCCTGCCAAGCATGAGAGAAGAATGGAGTTAACAATTTAACTCAATTCAACTCTATGCAATCAGCAGATAATTTAGTGCAAAGAAGTCATCTGTTAGCCTTGTCTCCTAGGAATCCTCCTAGCATCTCCTCACCTTGTTATTAGGAGATGAAACTAAAGCATTTTTTTTTTACCTTAAATGTCACCCTTACTTTAGGATAGTTTTGTTTATGTCCCTAATTTTTGTTCATAATTAAGGGAGTTACCCTTCATTCCAGATGACTCTTGATGCACTGATTGCCTGTGTGTAAAAAAAGAACTTAAAATCTCCTCCTGGGACACAATGTTATGAATAAGGACAGCTGTTTTGATTTACGTAGCAGAGTTTTTTTGCTAACTCTCCCCTGCTTGGTTTTGCGTTGAGTGTCTAGAATATTTGTTCCAGTTGAGTCTGTGCCCTCCTCCCACAGCCCCAGACTCCTGGGCCCTGCGGGACACAGGGCATTGTTCTCTGTCTCTGGGTCACCTCTGGTTAATAATGTTGGCTAACAGAGAACCAGCTCCATAGATCTGTCTTCTGACTTGAGATGAACAGTAAGAGGTAACCCTGTGATCCTGGTTTTTGTCTCTTCAGGACACTGTTTCCGTTCATAGACCAAGCTTTTATGCAGACAGATTTCTAAAGTTCATGAATTCCAGAGTTTTCAAGAAAATTCAAGGTAAGATTCTTATGAATTTTTTTTTTTTACTTTTAGTTGCTAATTTTTGTATCTTTGCAAGATTTTTATTGGAAGAATTAATGCTATTTCTTTCCCTGCAGCAGTAATTACTTAGTAATTATGGTTAAGCATGCCAGTCCGGTGTTTATTGATGCCATATCACTAGAGTCCTGTTTAGTGGTGAAAAAAATTTACAAGCTATCTAAATGTCCAATCATAAAACATACTGGTTAAATATATTATGATATAGTCAAATAATGGAATAGTATACAGCCAATAAAAAATGATGTGTTAGCAGCACATTAGTTTGTTAAATGTAGATTTATTTACCTTATATGTAGTAATCAGTCTGTACACCTTGAATGCACAGCAGAATTCTAAAGGAATATATAAAACAGCAGTTATTCTCATGGGACATTCGCTAGCATAGATCATATGTTAAGCCACAAAACAAGTTTCAATAAATTTAAAATGATTGAAATCATACAGAGTATCTTTTCTGATCACAATGGAATGAATCAATAAACAGTGAAAACTTCATAAATATTTGAAAATTAAACCACACACTCTTTAGCAATGAGTTAAAGAATAAATCACAAGGAAATCAGAAAAACCTCAGAGATGAATGAAAATAAAAACAAATATACCAAAAATTTATGGGATGCAGTGAAGGCAGTGCTCAGAGGAAAATTTATAGGTGTAAACTCCTACCTTAAAAAAAAAAAAAGGGGGAAAAATCTGAATTCAATATCCTAACTTTAAACCTCAAGTAACTAGAAAAAGAAAAGCAAATTAAACCCAAAGCTAACAATGCTTATTCCAGATCAAGGAAGTATGTGGGCCCTTATTTTCCTTTATATTGATATTTATTAAATTTTTGCAATGAATATGTCCTATCTGTGGTAAGTTTTTAAGGTATGTGAAAGGAGAAAATAACCCTACATATAGTTATTTTATCATTTTGCTATTCTGTGGTCCAAGTTCATAAACTAAAACATGAAACTTTAGCCACACACAAATGAAAAAGAATATTCATGATTTATATTTAAGTAAGACAAATTTTCCTCATAATATTTATTGGAGATTTTTTAATTAATGAAAATCAAACATTTGCAATGTAAAAATGTTGGAAAATACAAGAAGATTTTTATAAAAAATCTTTTTTTTGTAAAAAAAAAAAAAAAAAAAAAATTCCTTGAAATGCCACAACCCAGAGATATCCACTGCTAATATTTTGATGTACTTTCTACCAACCTTTATTTCTATGCTTTATGTATTTATATTAAAATGGTAGCATAATGGTACACTATTTTAGGTATATGTCCTCTTTTTTCACATAACTTTATAACACCAATAGTTTATAATGTTATGTTTTCCATATCATTGTATATTCTACAAGGCACCATTTGAAATTTCAACACAACATTAAAATTATGATGTAACATAATCTATTTTTTTTTCCACCATAATCTATTTAACCATTCTTTCAGTAATGGGCATCTACATTGTTTTCCTTTCGCTGTTTCTTGCTGGTTTATGAACCTAATTTCAGATCAACACTCTGTCCAAATTTAGGATTATTTCTTTAGAATGGATTCCAAGAAAGGGGCACAAGGGTAATAAAATGCATGTAACTGCACAGAGAGATTGTGCTACTGAGCCTGCATTCCACCAGCCCTTAGCTAGCATTGTGGCTTTTAAATTATGTCACTCTGATAAGTAAAAAATGTTATCTGATTGTCTTATTTTGCATTTCTTAAGTACTGGTAAGGTTCAACCCTTATTCATGTTTATTAGGCATTTGTAGTTCCTTTGAGAATTGAGCTTTTAACACTTGACCATTTATATTGGGTGTTTGTTATTTTTCAAAATTATTAATACCAATTCCATAAAGATATTAACCCCTTTTTAAACCTTCTTTTACTCTAAAACTTTTTTCCACATTTGACTCTCTCAGTGGTATCTTAAAATTGCTCTCAAATTGACACCTTCATAAATTAAATTATTTGCCCAAGGTTTCTTTGGCCTAGAATAGACTATAAGATAGTGTTTATTGAAATTGCAAGCCACATTAATACCAGCTTGTGGTTCCATTTTTTTTTTTTTGAGATAGGGTCTCACTCTGTCACCCAGGCTGGAATGCGGTGGCATAATTTCTGCTCACTGCAACCTCTGTCTCCCCAGTTCAAGTGATCCTTCTGCCTCAGCCTCTTGAGTAGCTGTGATTACAAGCATGCACCACCCATGCCCAGCTAGTTTTGGCTTTTAGTAAAGATGGGTTTTCATCATGTTGGCCAGGCTGTTTTGAACTCCTGGCCTCAAGTGATCCACTGACCTCTGCCTCCCAAAGTACTGAGATTACAGGCTTAAGTCACCACACCCAACCATGGTTCCAATTTTTAAGGAAGATTTTTTCACCTTTCTTAGGCCTGTGCCAAGGCTGGAAGCCACGGTTTTTCCTGTAGCCCATGGTGCATTTTGGAGGATGCAGCCCTTTAATGTTCCAGTTTTAGCGAGCCTCCCTTAGAGACTCCCCATCTTGGAAAGTTCATTTTTTTTAGGGGCATATAAGTTAATGGTACAATCAATGTTATCTTCAATTTCATAAAATATGGCATGTGTTGCAGATTTTTCCAGTTTGTATAATTTATCAGGTTTTTAATGGGACAAGTTTTTTAACTCTCAGGTAATCAAATCTATTGACATTTTCTTATTTTGATTTTATTATTTATTTTTAAAAAACAGTGCTCCCCTCCCTGTGTCCATGTGTTCTCATTGTTCAACACCCGCCTATGAGTGAGAACATGTGGTGTTTGATTTTCTGCTCTTGTGTCAGTTTGCTGAGAATGATGGTTTCCAGGTTCATCCATGTCCCTACAAAGGACACAAACTCATCATTTTTGATGGCTGCATAATATTCCATGGTGTATATGTGCCACATTTTCCCTGTCCAGTCTATCATCGATGGGCATTTGGGTTGGTTCCAGGTCTTTGCTATTGTAAACAGTGCTGCAATGAACATTCGTGTGCATGTGTCTTTATAGTAGAACGATTTGTAATCCTTTGGATATATACCCAGTAATGGGATTGCTGGGTCAAATGGAATTTCTATTTCTATGTCCTTGAGGAATCGCCACACTGTCTTCCACAATGATTGAACTAATTTACACTCCCACCAACAGTGTAAAAGTGTTCCTATTTCTCCACATCCTCTCCAGCATCTGTTGTCTCCAGATTTTTTAATGATCACCATTCTAACTGGCGTGAGATGGTATCTCAATGTAGTTTTGATTTGCATTTCTCTAATGACCAGAGATGATGAGCATTTTTTCATATGTTTGTTGGCTTCATGTATGTCTTCTTTTGTAAAGTGTCTGTTCATATCCTTGGCCCACTTTTGAATGGGCTTTTTCTTCTTGTAAATCTGTTTTAGTTCTTTGTAAATTCTGGATATCAGCCCTTTGTCAGATGGGTAAACTGCAAAAATTTTTTCCCATTTTGTTGGTTGCTGATTCACTCTAATGACTGTTTCTTTTGCTGTGCAGAAGCTCTGGAGTTTAATTAGGTCCCATTTGTCTATTTTGGCTTTTGTTGCCAATGCTTTCGGTGTTTTGGTCATGAAGTCCTTGCCTACACCTATGTCCTGAATGGTTTTCCCTAGATTTTCTTATAGGGTTTTTATGGTGTTAGGTCTTATGTTTAAGTCCTTAATCCATCTAGAGTTAATTTTAGTGTAAGGTGTCAGGAAGGGGTCCAGTTTCTGCTTCTGCACATGGCTAGCCAATTTTCCCAACACCATTTATTAAACAGGGAATCCTTTCCCCATTGCTTGTTTTTGTCAGGTTTGTCAAAGATCAGATGGTTGTAGATACGTTGTGTTGCCTCCGAGGCCTCTGTTCTGTTCCAGTGGTCTATATCTCTGTTTTGGTACCAGTGCCATGCTGTTTTGATTACTGTAGCCTTGTAGTATAGTTTGAAGTCCAGCAGTGTGATGCCTCCCACTTTGTTCTTTTTGCTTATAATTGTCTTGGCTATGCAGGCTCTCATTGTTTCCATATGAAGTTTAAGGTGTTTTTTCCCAGTTCTGTGAAGAAGGTCATTGGTAGCTTGATAGGGATAGTGTTGAATCTGTAAATTACTTTGGGCAGTGTGGCCATTTTCACGTTATTGATTCTTCCTAATCATGAATATGGAATGTTCCTCCATCAGTTTGTGCCCTCTCTTATTTCATTGAGCAGTGGCTTGTAGTTCTCCTTGAAGAGGTCCTTTACGTTCCTTGTTAGTTGTATTCCTAGGTATTTTATTCTCTTCATAGCAATTGTGAATGGCAGTTCGTTCTTGATTTGGCTCTCTTTGTTATTGGTATATAGGAATGCTTGTGATTTTTGCACATTGATTTTGTATCCTGAGACTTTGCTGCAGTTGCTTATCAGTTTCAGGAGATTTTGGGCTGAGACAATGGGGTCTTCTAGATATACAATCATGTTGTCTGCAAATAGAGACAATTTGACTTCCTCCTTTCCTATTTGAATACCCTTTATTTCTTTTTCTTGCCTGATTGCTCTGGCTAGAACTTCCAGTACTGTATTGAATAGGAGTGGTGAGAGAGGGCATCCTTGTCTAGTGCCAGATTTCAAAGTTGGGGGGAAATAGGGGAGGGACAGCAGGGGGTGGGGAGTTGGGGAGAGATAGCATGGAGAAAAATGCCAGATATAGGTGAAGGGGAGGAAGGCAGCAAATCATACTGCTACATGTGTACCTATGCAACAATCTTGTATGTTCTTCACATGTACCCCAAAACCTAAAATGCAATAAAAAAAAGTTGAATAAATTTTTATTATTTTTATTTAAAAAAAAAAAAGACAATATAATCTTGCTATTCTTATAATAGCTAATGAGCAATTTTTCCTATTGTTGTTTGTTTTTCTTATTCTATAAATTGCTTGTTTATAATCTCTGCCTATTAGGATATTACATATTATATATACATATATATTATA